CGTTTCTCGAGTTAATTGTCCATTTAAAAATAGGAAAACGGCTATCAGTGGAAAAACTGCTATTACACACAACGCCAATTTCCAATCAAAATAAAGAGCTATGCCAAGCCCAAAACATACCGTCGCAAATATCTCTAATAAATCACCAACTCGTTCCGCACTTATCCCACCTAATGATGTCGGATCAGATGATAATCGTGTGGTCACAGCTCCTACCATATTCTCTTTTCTATCAAACCATCCGATGTTCTGTCGTAAAATACTCCGATAAAACCGCTTGCGAAGACGACTTATCATCTTCTCACCAGCAGCCATAAAGAGCCCAACATAAAAGAAGAACGAAATCATCGTCGTCACCCCAATTAATAAGATCAAAAGACAGTTTTTCAAGATCCCCGAAGATTGCGAGTTGGTCAAATCGGTGCCAACTTCTAGTCGCATTAATATCAATAACATATCGACAAATTTTAAGGAATAAAAAGGAAAGGCTGCACCAGCACCTATGGCACCTATTAAGCCTAAGATACTTAAAATATACTCATGGCGATAATTGTTCAGAATAACACGGAATAAAACAAAGCGATTGGTAGTCTTTAGACGCTTCTTTTCTTCTTGATATTCTCGAGATATCGATTGAACTAATAAAGCTTCACTCTCGTCATTCCGCTCATTATTCATCTTCTCAATCTCGGCATTCTCATCTTGTTTGATCTTTTTTAAATCATTCTCAACAGTCTCTTGATCCGTCTCATCTTCCATCGACTGCCGCTTCACTAAATTATAATAACTCCCTTTCTTACTCATTAATTCCTCATGTGTCCCACTCTCGATAATTTCGCCTTGATGAAAGACACAAATTTTATCTGCGTTTCTTACAGTAGACAATCGATGAGCTACAACAAGAGTAGTTCTTCCCTTTGCAGCTTCTTCTAAAGCACTTTGAACGATCTTTTCTGATTGTGTGTCCAATGCACTAGTTGCCTCATCTAATAATAAGATCTTTGGATTTCTAATTAAAGCGCGCGCAATAGCAATTCGCTGCTTTTGGCCGCCACTTAATTGAGCGCCACGTTCACCAACTAAAGTGTCATATCCTTCTACTAATTTGATGATAAAGTCGTGGGCATTCGCCATCTTGGCACATCGAATGACATCATCATCAGTCGGAGTCTCGCCCTCCTTTGCTCCTAATAAAATGTTCTCTTTAATGCTACAAGAAAATAAGACCGGCTCTTGCCCGACTAAGCCAATCTGATTGCGAAGCCATTTGATGTTCAATGTAGTGATGAGACGACCATCTATTTTAAGATATCCACCAGTTAAGTCATACATACGCTGAATGAGCTGAATGGTTGTACTTTTCCCACACCCAGAAGCTCCTACTAAAGCTATTGTCTCACCTTTTCGAATTGTTAAATCAAGACCATGTAACACTACTTTCGCTAATCGGGTGGGGTAACTAAATTGAACATCTTCAAATTCAATGTTCCCTTCACACGTCGGAGGAACCTCTCCAAATGTCGACTTAATATCTATATTCGGAATTCGATCTATCGTTTCATAAATTCGAAATGCACTTGCTTTGGCAGTGGCTAAGATATTCATTGGAGTGGAGACTTGACTGAGTGATTGAGTCGCAAGTAACACTGACATAAAAACGACCATGACTATATATCAGTATTTTCGGAATGTTACAATTGATGATACAAAATAAATGTTACAGTTAATAATACAAAATTCAATAATTTCAAATTGTGACACTGTCATAAAGTATTGAATTGTTACTACATTAATATATCAGAGAATGTGCTTATATAGAAAATGAACAAACCAGTCCCAGCTGTACTGTTACTACTCCCACCTTTACCTCTTAAGACAAGATTACCATACCAAGTACCTAGTGCATTTGATGCCATTATACAAAACATCATACACCCGAGTCCTGTTCCAATCCCAATGCTTTTCTTGACTTTGTAACTCTCGTGGATCTCAATTTTCTCATTATATTCCTTACAGAAAAACTCCTCTTTACCAAGTGCTTGGACTGTTCTCATGTTTCCGATTGTTTCCTCAGCAATAGCTCCCGCCTCTCCGAACGGTTGAATACTTTTCTTAGTAAATATCCCAGCGGACATTCCAAGTCCCATCATTGACATCATAGTGAACGGTGACATACACAAGATGACTAATGTCAAATCCCAACATAAAGCAAAGCCCATAGCATATCCCGTTATAAACGCTGCAATTGTTTGGAAGATCACCCCGAACTTTGAACTCATGCCATCCTCGATTTGTTGGACGTCCGAGGAGATCCGAGCAGTTAACTCTCCGGCCTCATGGAAGTCATACCACTCCATGTCTTGTCTTAAAAGTGCCTTAAAATAGAGCGTTCGTATCTTTATGCCCTGTCTCTGACTTAACACAAAGAAACAAAAAGTCTGCAAAAACCCCGCAACCATATTACCTATCGAGAAGTATACCATTTTCAACACTAAGTCATTCGCAGTTGAACTGATTGTGTCTAACATCTTCTGATTCATCTCTACAGATACTATATTGGGGAGTGTCGATGACCCACTCTGCACAAAATTATCAACCATTTTGCCTGTTAAAAGCATTAAAAGGGGATTTAAGACACCAACAGCTAATGACCCCAAAATCCCTGTAAAAAGAAGTAAAAGGTCAGAGACACTGGCATACCGAAATAACTCACGGATCG